TGGTATGTGGACCAAAAATCTGCTAAATTTGCATGAAGATCCATCAGGTCATCTATATATGCATTGCAACATTTCATTTGTCTCCATCAAGTAATTTGTACTATCCTGGAGTGTGGAGTGACATGGGAAAAATCAAGATACACCACCCCACCCCCTCAAATGTGTGCTTACTTTGTCATACAAGAACAAAGTTGTGACTGACCTGATTTCCAGCAGGGGTGAGCTTGTGAATGACTATGAGCTCCATACCAGATTCGCTGCCTGCAGCCATCATATGCTATAGAAAACTCGTCATCACCAATACCATATCCTTCCTGTAACAGAAAAAAATGTACAGATATATATTACAGATATATATTCCAGGCAGTGACTGTATGAGCACTTGTGAGATATTATGTGCTTATGCATAAGTGAAAGTTACATAAGTTTTAAAAACTTCAAACAAACATCTTTAATATTCAATTATGCATCTACCTGTCCTTAAGAAAAGCCAGATATAAACCTGTCAAGCTAAATTTAATATTTTCAGATCTAATTGCAAAACAACTTCTCATTTATGGTACTTGATAATGTAAAAAATCAGAATATGGATGATCTGCCTCTGTATGTGATACCACATTTTTCCATAGACAAGTTCTTGCTTCATAATAAGTCTACCCCTAAAAACCTTTTGCCAAACTTTTATCAGACAGTTACTAAAGATATATTTATCTAATAATAAGCCCACCCCCTACCCTGTGATAAATTTATTAGTTTGTTAGTCAAGCCCATCAAAATTTAGTTTGCTTTGATACTGAAAGTAGACATCATTCAACTAGAGAATTAAGAGTAAAAGATGACAAAAATTACAGTTTTGAGTTTAGGTAAAGTTAAGAGTAATTATAAAAAGCTTATGGTTACCCCTCTACTAGAATACCTACATCTTTCCATCGGAACTGTGAGCAGTCATCAACTGAACCGCAAGATGAAGGAACCACCAGACTCTTAAAACTGGACTATTCTGTGATTCCGATCATTTGTTGTTAATGTTTTTAGCATAATGCATGATGCATACTATAATAAAGTCTTCATGGCATTTTCTAGTTGCCACATTGTCATTTTAAAACTTGCCATAGGCCATTAATTGAAAATTTTCACCTGTCAATTCTAAATGTTTTCATTTTAGCTTCAACTTGGGAGTGCTGTTCTGAGTTACGTACATTTAATGCTTCTTGCAGGAAATGTAAAAAAAATATCCTTCTCTCACTAAAAGTGACTACCAGCCAGTGCTGAGATCCATGTTAAATATTACCGCAATCTGAATGTGAACAAAGACAAGCATGCCCATGTTATGGGAATCTCAAGTTTATGTACATAATGCACTGGCAGATCTGCATCTGTTAGGAGCAATTAGCACAACAAACAACAAAGACCCTGATCTTCTGACATATTATAAAATGACACATCAGAGTCCATGTTGCTTGCAATTGGATTTGACTTATAAGTGAGTATATAAGGTACACTGAAACTTTTTCTTAACCAGACAATGATTGAACTAATATTGTATACACTGAAAATTCTCTAAACCATACACTGATGGAACCAAAAATTGTGTATAATGAAAATTATCTAAACCAGACACTGATGAAACCAATATTGTGTACACTGAAAATTATCTAAACCAGAAACTGATGGACCCAAAATTGTGTACATTGAAAATTCTTAAAACCATACACTGATGAAACCAAAAATGCTTTACTGTCCTAACCATCAGGTCAGTACATCTAATTTTTATTAGTATACCATTATCTCAATCATTTACAAACAATTGGATCCCAAACCAATCATCTTTTTGTTCATAGGAAATGATAGATTACGTCAAATGTACTCAATCATTTTATTGAAAAGGAAAAAGGATGGATTTGGTCAATCTTTAGTATAAAGCATTTTTGTTGAAAAAATGGATGGAATAATGAACTTTCAGTAGAGAACCATTTTTTTTTTCAAGAAAAAAGAATGGATTAGGTCATCATTTGGCACAGAAGAATTTTCTTCCCAGTGAAAAGGATTGATTTGGTCTCCTCCAAGTACAGATGCATACTTTTCAAAAGCAAATAATGGAACAGGTCAATTCTTAGTATATAAACATTCTTTCAAGGAAAAAGAATGAAATGGGTCAACTATTAGTACAGAAGCATTTTTTCCCCCCAAAGAAATGAATAAATTAGGTCAATGTTTAGTAGACAAGAATTTTTTTCAAGAGAAAAGGATGGATTTAGTTAATTTTAACCACTGAAGCATTTTTTCTTGCTATAATCTAGGATGGTATACCGGTAGGTCAACTTTAAATATAGAAGCATTTTTCAAGAGAATAGAATAGATTAAGACACCATTTAGTACATGCATTATTTTCCCATCGAAAAGAATAGATTAGGTCTACTCTCAGTGTATGTGCTGAAGCATTTTTTTCAAAAGAAGTTGGTGTTATGATACTGACATTTTTTCATGCAAAAAGGATAGATTAAGTAAATTTTTTGTATAAAAGCATTCATTTTCAAGAGAAAGGACTGATTGTCAGCTATTGGTACATAAGCATTCTTTCAAAAGTAAAAATTAGGTTATGTCATTTCTAACTATAGAAAGCACTTTTGCTGAGAAAAGAATGGATTAGATCAAAATCAAAGTAAAGAAGTATTTTTGCAAGAGAAAAAAATGACGAAGTAGGTCAGTTCTAGCTACAGAAGCACTTTTGATGAGAAAGGATGGATTAGATCAACACTAAATCCTGAAGGATTTGTTTCAAGAGAAAAGGATGGATTAAGTCACCACTTAGCTGAAAAGCATCATTTTCCCCAGTGAAAAGGATAGATTAGGCCAATGACTCAATGTAAAAGCATTTTCTTCTTGAATAAATGGTGCCTTCAGTACAGACTTTTCAAGTGAAAAGGATGGATTGAATCCACTTGTAGCATAGTAGCTTTTTTCAAGAGAAATGGCTAGATCAGATAAACCCTTTACCTCATACAAGTGCCTTTTGGCCTTCTACTGACATCCCATACATGCACCTTTTGGCACTTTACCCAATGCCCATCTAAGCGCCATCTAGCAACTCGGTAAACAGCAGACATTTTGAGCGAGTTTTCGTAGCACCACCTTCAGGGAAAACCCCTATTAGATACTACATTCATTGGTAAGAATGATCATTATGTCAGATCACGTGGTCACTGTTAATGCTCTGGTTGAAATCTGCTATTTAAAGTACATAGGTCGTACACGTCGCGTATTAGCCATTCGACAAAATGGCAGTCTCTGATATTGTTCAGTACTTGCTTGAGTAGAATCACAACTATGAAAGCTTCAATAACTTAGATAAAGGCTCTGAGACTGATATAGGAAGCCATTTTTTTTTATAAATGATCAAATTCAACTGAATTTAGTTATGTAGATGCAGGCAAAGAACTTGTAAATTCTGAGTATGAAAAATTGTCACTACGGTTCATCACGCGGCTTTACTAATTTGATAGTCAACGAGTTCTCTCAAGATGTTAAAGCACAAACAAAATTCTTTCGTTAAAAATAATTATACAGCTATAATGACCATATGTTGCTCTTAAATCTTTCCATACATAATACCAAAAACATAAAATGGCTAAAATTGCTGTTAAACCTAACATACTCTTCACTGTTTAACAAGCCTATGCTTAGTGGATTGCACTGGGTAACTTTGCTACATGTGTATCGAAAGCCTAAAAAGCCATACACTCTATGAGGGAAAGGATTAACACTCAGTATGGTTACATTTTTAAACAAATGCAAATAATGGATTAAGGGAATACTTGATATAATAGCAATTTTTAACTCTAGTATACAAGCATTTTTTTTTAAAGTGAAAAGGATAGATTAGGAGAATTCTTGCTATATTAGCATTTTTCCAAAGAAAAGAATGGATTAGGTGAATTATTAATCCAGAATCATTTTTCTCAATAGATTAGAATGCAGTTGGTCAACTCTAAGTATAATCAGGAAGCACTGTAGTTTTTAGATGTGGTTCTGCAGTTTTAAAGTTATGCCAATGCCTGTAGAGGAAAGATGAGACCAAGTGGCAAATGCTTGCTGCTAATATTGGGATCACAACTATTTTGAGTTATCAGAGAGACTGGTCTCCAGGAATCAAGAGCAGGGCAAGAAACCAATGAATACTGAAAGAGTTATTTCCCTTGGTCCTGCCAAGTAAGTGTTGAGTAGAATTGTGAACAGTTAATATTGCCCAGTTCTCATCACTAGTGTATAAATTTACATGCATATGTACAAAACAAATCTGCATAAGTAAATTTGCATCTATGCAAAATTCAGCATATGTATGCACAGCAAATATATAAATGTGTATAATCTAATTAATTTCTATAAAAAGATGACCACAAAATTAGACGGTTTTGTCTTTGCTTCAAGACCTTCAGATGAATTGAAACAGCATGATAAAAAGTCTGTTTATTAGTAGCTATCCAATTCTGGTAGCATTTGCTTGACACTATATCTCTATCACATTTGCTTGACACTATATCTCTATCACATTTGCTTGACACTATATCTCTATCACATTTGCTTGACACTATATCTCTATCACATTTGCTTGACACTATATCTCTATCACATTTGCTTGACACTATATCTCTATCTGTATATTCCAAAAACACTGTTCAAGGCATGGTAATGGACTGATTGATGGATACACTGATTAAAATACGGAAGGATGGATGGAGGGGTTGGTGAATAATTGGTGTGTGCAAGTGTTGTATGTGTGATTTAGATTTTTAACATAGCTATAACAATTTTTTCAGTCATACCACTACGATGACTAAAGTGTGACAGTTTATAGTGATGTCTAGCACTGAGGCATCATGCTGCAGACATGATGTCTCACCCAGTCACATTGTTTTGACAACAGGCCAACCAGTCCTAACATCTTAATGCCAAGTGTCAAGCGAGGCAGCTGTTAGTACCATTTTTTAAAGTCTTTGGTGTGACTTGACTGGAGTTTGAACCCATGAACTCCTGCATCCAAGGCAAATGCTCTAACCACTAGGCCACCAGAATGGTCCGGTGCATAATTGGATCGATGGAATGTGTTGGTGGGTAGATGATATGATCTGGTATTAAAAAAACCACTAGACAGTGTAACAAAATATTCTTCATACTCTTTTTTTATACCTTGTAAGAGCTAAATAAAGATTAAGTAAACAATAAATTAATACAGAGGACATAAATATCTCTGCATAGCTAGTAAAATTGTAAGAAACCTACATTCTAGATGTAACAGCAAACATTTTAGGTCAATCAGGACCACACATCACTAAAATGTACAAAACCTGACCTGTCATCTATTTATATGAAACCCTTTACAATTATCATGTTTAGACAATAGCATACTTCACAAGTTATGGAGAGTCATAATCAAACTTCTACGCTTAAAGGGGACTTCACTCTGAAACATTCTGATGAGTGAAAAAAAGCGAAACTCAGCCAGGCAAATGTCTTCTCAACAAAATGACACACATGAAATTTGGTTTATTTAAATTCTATCATTACATTTTAACACTAAATAATAGATTATACTTTTAAAGTTAATTTTTATGTAAACAGTGGCAGACTAAGATAGTATTATCTGCCAAGGGCAGATAACCTTTTATGACATGTTAATTGCATATTATCAACTGCAATACCAAACAGTTAAAAGATAAATCAAGGGTGAAATTACTTTTTTCTTCACTTTTTCAATGATTTTAAGATTGTCTACAAACATGTTATATACAGCCCTCGTTATGATCTTAACTTACATGGTTAAGGAAACTACTATCTTTGGTTGCCCAGCCAATTTGCATGACACCAGCTGTAATAACTGTAACCTCATAGTACCACACCCCAGAGTCCACTTGAAATGTTGACCTAACACTTTCAAATGAGGAGGCATCACACCTGGCCTGAAAACAGAAGAAATGAAAAAACTATTTTGAATGCATATAGGTGACTATCTTTATACAAAAAAATGTAAGATTTAGGTCAAAACCCATACTAAATGAAAGGCTATTCCATGTATAAGTAAATCAATGACCAGTTTATAGCAGATTTTATGACATCAATACAAAGACAAAATACATTTTGGCTTTCAAATTGTTGATAAAACATAATTATATACAACAACAACTGTTTCAACTGAATTATTTACCCATATCATACATAAGTTTAACTGAGCTAGTCATTTTACAACATACTGTAAAAAGATCAAAGTTGAGTGTGGCTTTCAGGTTAACAAGTCATTTTTATACAAAAAGTTGTCTCTAGAAAATCCTATTCAGGAAATATGCTTCAAAAAATGATGCATTGGGTCATTTGGCTGTGGCATATATAATATATATAATGCATAAATATTTTACTGCACACAATTTCTGTGATACTCATCAAGAGGCAATTCCTCACCAAGTTCAATGATGCTGAAGTACAAGTAGTAATGCATGAAGTAAGCTCCTTTTAAGATGAGACTAAGAGGTTAGTGTTAGGACTGGTCGGCCTGGTGTCAGGATAATGTGATTGGGTGGAACATTCTGCAACATGTCTGCGGAATCATGCCCCACTACTAGACATCACTATAAATTGCCACATTGCAGACATCATAGCAATATGAATGAACAACTGTTAAAGTTATGTTAAAAATCATAATCACAGATTTATCAATATGCATCCCATCATCAAGTTTCAAGTATGACAGTACATATACACAACACAAAAATCTGAGTTAAATACAAACATTTTAATAAGAATGTACAAGTAATGTACCTGTGCAAAGTTAGCCCCTTTCCAGAGGGAAGGTGTCCTGATACCCACTCCAAACTGCTACCCAAGACCTAGGAATTAACTAATTTTTTCTAGTAAAATATGTTTCCTCACAAACATTTACCTAATCATAAGACCTTCAGAGAACTACAATTACCTTGTAAATATGCCCTTCCAGATAACATTTTCTGATAAAAAGTGCTAACGGTTATCTGCCCAATTAGTTGACAGGCAGAGTGATCTCTCCTTGATATAGGGACTGGTGGTAAAACCTATGAATATCTCAGTTACTACTGGACTATGAGGCTTGGAGGGTATCTGTGTATTATGACTTGGTAAGTATTCGCAAAGAAACATTACAAGAAAAATTAGTTTCTTCCTTAAATATACAAAATACGTTAGGTGAATAGGTAAGAGATGGAGTGAGATACATCTCTTTAACTTTCAGTACAAAAGTCTGGTTATCCATTAGCAGGAGCCTGTTCTTGGTGATTAAAGAGGGAACTGTCATAAATGAAATTGATCCATCTTGTCAGAACTGCATGTAACTCGCTGATTCTGCCTACTATCACAAATGTGATGAGGAAGCAGATATTTCAAGAAAGGCGAGTCAAAAATGTCCCTGAAAATGGTTCTATTGGTGTTTTGTTCAACCAGGCTAGTGCCCATGATAGTTTCCATTTTGGTCACAAAGCCAACACTTTTGGCAGTGCATACTCAAAGTTAGATAGGAGGTCCAATAAGTTTCATTTTATCTAATATCCTCTCTTCCGTGATTATAAAAGGTGTCAGTGATCATGGAGTGCTAACTTTTTTCTTTTACAAAAGCCAAAAAAGGAAGTCATCTATTTCAGATATTGATGCCTGTAGGTGCATAATGTATTCTTGTCTACACCACTTTGCCCAAATATTTGATTTGCTTCTGTACAGTTTCAGATTGGAGGATCTTCTTGCTTGAAAACTTCTTTTGACAAGTGATTGTGAGAACTGTTTATTTTTGATGATCCAGATGTGTAGGTTCAGTAGCTCTGGATTTGAAACAACTGCCATCATGGTTGTTTGACTAGATGAGGGAAATTCTCTATTTTTTTGTGGAAATTCCATTTGTGAGATTGATGAGGTCATTGATCCACTACTTCTCCCATCTGAGTGGTGGAATAAGGCAACACAACGATTCTCTTTTTGTATCACCTTTGGAATCACAGGTGTTGGTATGAATTCAGGTATTTCCAATCTAGGGACTGTGTGCCAACTGCCACTAATTTGGCCTAGATTTGGATAGCCTGAGAAAATTATTTTCTTGCTGAGGCTACCAAAGGGATCAAGCTATTCACCGGGAAATAAAAACAAGTTTAAACCACTATTATTGCAGCAACTTATTGTTGTAAAAATGTGTGACTTGTTACTTAATCTCATTTAAAAGACCTCCAATCTTTTTTCTCCAACAGGCAAGATTGAATTTTTATTTTCATTGTGCATTAGAAATGCCATTTGTTTTTAAAAATAAAACTCCTCATTTTTAGTACTGCAGATGCATAGTCATTTTTCTGCAGTAGATTTATCAACTAAACCCGGATAACTTGGGACCCGTTTATGTCAATGATTTTTTTGACACACCTCAACGTAATTGCAATAACCATGTTTGACATAATAATAATGATAATATAATAATAATAAATAATAATAATAAAATATTTTAAGAGATGATCAAATTATTTTACAATAACTAATTTCCCTCTCTTATGTAGCAAGTGGCTGCATGTAAAAGTTCAAAGATGCTAACTACAAATTGATGTAAAATGATAATAATTAGACTTACCTCTAACCCATCAGCAGAGATTTTCAAGTATTCACTAACATCATTTGAATTCAACATCACATTAATATTAGTTAGATCTTCTTTTAGATAGGAATACTGTCGACCCTGAAAAACAGAATTTGATAAAATAATTTCTGTGGGTATTAACTTTTGTAAAAATAGACATTTTGTTTATACTGTGGTTTTAATATACTCACAGAAGAGATATTGTTTGTTAGGTCTTTGAATTTGTCATTTGCATCATCATAGAATCCAAACAATGAAAAATAGAGAATGCACAGCAATTATTATGAGACAAAATATACCAGTGTTTATTCCATGACACATGTTGCCAATTCGATAAAATTAGCTCATGTCATATTTTTAGATGGCACATTATTCATTATTCTAAATTACCAGTTTCTGCATCTCATCACTATAAAATAAAATGCTTCAATATTACTATTTGATTGGCTGGCTATAAATTGAACTAACATTTTTTAACAGTGTTGTCTTTGTTTCTTTATCATAATTTGTTCAGTTTTGGAAATAAATTAATGATGATAACCCTTCAAGATGCATCTGCTGACTAAATTTCATGATTCCTGGTTTAACATGCAAATAACCTATGTAATCATTAGCTAACTGCAAAAAGCTGAATCAACTAAATGTGAAACAGGCCACAATGATATATTGCTATAAGGGTGTGGTTTCTAACAGGAATGTATACAGTACTCTTATGATGTTAGCAAGAACTGAGCTTGAGAAATAAACTTAAAACACGTGATTACACTGCTTGTAAGTTTTAAATTCTTTTTATTTCATTGTATTTTATTGCAATGAATATTTTTGTCAGGATTCATTTTCAGTATTGAGATATATTCTTATAACAACATTTGTTTATTTAAGACGAAGAAGTATTATATTATATCATTAAGTTCATCTTGCGCTGGTAACAGTGTCAACAGGAAGTTAAAATGATTGGTCAGTATCAGGGGCATACTTTCTTTGCATGATCACTATGTGTAAACAACCTTTTCATGATTGGTTCTTAAGTGGGGACAATTTGGTTTATGTGATCAAGCTAGTGTAGTAAGAAACCACATGACCAATCTCACAAGACTTGAAATGATATCTGGAGAAGCCCTGAGTGGCCGAGTGGTCTAAAGTGCTACCATTATGGATCACTGCATGGGTTTGAGTCCAAAATTTTGCAAATGTGGATATGAGAAAGCTTGCCAGTAACTTCTTGTGGGATGTTGGTTCTTTCCGCGGATTTACCGGTTTCATCCTCCACAATTAATTCTGGCTGCCATGTATAGTCTATCATATGCTGAAAAATGGCGTTAAGCCCCACAACAACAACAACAACTAATGATGTCTGTGGTTTTAAATATGCAATCTTAGTATTTTTTTCAAGTAGATTTATTCAAACACCTTGAAGGAACAAGGTGTATTATTTTTTTTATATG